GATCCCAAGGCGTTCCCAGGCCAGTGCAGAGATATAATCTCTCCACCTAGTCCTGGGTCTTCCCCGGGGCCTCTTCCCAGCTGGCCGTGCCTGAAACACCTCCCTAGGGAGGCGCCCAGGGGGCATCCTCACCAGATGCCCAAACCACCTCAACTGGCTCCTTTCGATGCAAAGGAGCAGCGGCTCTACTCCGAGCTCCTCGCGAATGGCTGAGCTTCTCACCCTATCCCTAAGGCAGACGCCAGCCACTCTCCTGAGGAAACCCATTTTGGCCGCTTGTACCCGTGACCTAGTTCTTTCGGTCATGACCCATCCTTCATGATCATAGGTGAGGGTAGGAACGAAGATTGACCGGTAGATCGAGAGCTTTGCCTTCCGACTCAGCTCTCTTTTCGTCACAACGGTGCGGTAAAGCGAGTGCAATACCGCCCCCGCTGCTCTGATTCTCCGGCCAAACTCACACTCCATCTTCCCCTCACTCGTGAACAAGACCCCGAGGTACTTGAACTCCTTCACTTAGGGTAAGGACACATTCCCTACCTGGAGTAGGCAATCCATCGGTTTCCTGCTGAGAACCATGGCCTCAGATTTAGAGGTGCTAATCCTCATCCCGACCGCTTCACACTCGACTGCGAAACGCTCCAGTGAGAGTTGGAGGTCACAGACGGAAGATGCCATCAGGACCACATCATCTGCAAAAAGCAGCGATGAGATCCGCAGCCCCCCGAACTGTAGACCCTCCTCCCCCCGACTACGCCTCGATATCCTGTCCATGAAGACCACAAACAAGATTGGTGACAAGGCACAGCCCTGGCGAAGGCCAACCCCCACCGGAAACGCCTTCGACTTACTGCCGAGCACCCGAACACAGCTCTCGCTTTGGGCGTACAAGGATTGGATGGCCCCAAGCAAGGACCCCCTCACCCCGTACTCCCGCAGCACCTCCCACAGTATCTCTCGGGGGACCCGGTCATTCTCCAAGTCCACAAAACACATGTAGACTGGTTGAGCATACTCCCAAGCCCCCTCTATGATCCTGGAAAGAGTGAAGAGCTGGTCCGTTGTTCCACGACCAGGACGAAAACCGCATTGTTCCTCTTCAATCCTTGGTTCGACTATCGGCCGAACCCTCCTTTCCAGCACCTTAGAGTAAACTTTACCCGGGAGGCTGAGTAGTGTGATACCCCTGTAATTGGCACACACTCTATGGTCCCCCTTTTTGAAGAGGGGTACCACCACCCCAATCTGCCACTCTTTTGGCACTGTCCCAGACTTCCACGCAATGTTGAAGAGGCGTGTCATCCAAGACAACCCCCCAACACCCATCGCTTTTAGCATCTCTGGACGGATCTCATCAATCCCCGGGGCTTTGCCACTGCGGAGTTGTTTGACTACCTCAGTGACTTCCACCAGGCCAATTGACGATGATCCCTCCTCCGCCTCCAGCTCCGCCTCCACCAAAGAGGGCGTAGTAGTTGGGTTCAGGAGTTCCTCAAAGTGTTCCTTCCACCGCCCGATAACCTCCTCAGTCGCGGTCAACAGGGTCCCATCCTTACTGTACACAGCTTGGATGGTTCCCCGTTTCCCCCTCCTGAGGTGCCGGATGGTCTTCCAAAAACACTTTGGTGCCGACCGAAAGTCCTTCTCCATAGTTACCCCGAACTCCTCCCATACTCGCTGCTTTGCCTCCATCACGGCAGAGGCTGCTTCCCTTCGAGCCTGTCGGTACACTGCAACTGCCTCTGGAGTCCCACCGGATATCATAACCCGGAAGGCCTCCTTCTTCAGTCGGACGGCTTCCCTGACCACCGGTGTCCACCACGGAGTTCGAGGGTTACCGCCCCTTGATGCACCTAAGACCTTGAGGCCACAACTCACCGCCGCGGCTTCAGCAATGAAGGTTTTGAACACAGACCACTCTGGTTCAATGTCCCCTACCTCCATAGGAATGTGAGAGAAGCTCCGCCGGAGGTGTGAGTTGAAAATCTTTTGGACCGGGGCCTCCTCCAGACGTTCCCAGTTCACCCTCACTACACGCTTGGGTTTACCGGGTCTGTCCCGAGTCTTCCCCCATCCTCTGACCCAGCTCACAACCAGATGGTGATCAGTTGACAGCTCTGCCCCTCTCTTTACCCAAGTGTCCAGAACATGCGGCCTCAGATCAGACGATACGATTACAAAATCGATCATTGATCTTTGGCATAGGGGGCTCTGGTATCACGTACACTTATGAACATCCTTATGTTCGAACATGGTGTTTGTTATGGACAATCCGTGACTGGCACAGAAGTCCAGTAACAAACACCTGCTCGGGTTCAGATCAGGGAGGCCATTCCTCCCAATCACGCCTCTCCAGTTATCTCCATCGTCGCCCACGTGCGCATTGAAGTCTCCCAGTAGGACTATGGAGTCCCCTACTGGAGCCCCATGCAGGACTCCAGGACTCAGGCACCACCCGAAGGCGTAGGGAGGCGACCCTTTTGTCCACTGGGGTAAACTCCAATGTAGCAGCACTCAGCCGGGGACTTATGAGTATCCCCACACCCGCCTGGCGCCTCACACCATGGGCCACTCCGGAGTAGAATAGAGTCCACCCCATATCCAGGAGTGTGGTTCCAGAGCCGAGGCTGTGCGTAGAGGTAAGCCCCACCAGATCCAACTGATAACGCTCCACCTCCCGCACAAGCTCCGGCTCCTTCCCCCCCAGAGAGGTTACGTTCCACGTCCCCAGAGCCAGCATCTGCCGCCCAGGTCTGTTCCGTCTAGACCCCCCACTGTCACTGCCACCCTTGTAGCAGCGCACCCGACCCCATCGGTTTCCTCCACAGGTGGTGAGCCCATGGGATGTAGAGTGTTGGGCTGCCGCGTCACTCCTTCGGGCTGTGCCCGGCCGGGCTCCGCGGTAAACCCGGCCACCAGACGCTCGCTGTCGGGCCCTCCATCTGGGCCTGGCTCCAAATGGGGGCCCCGGGCTTCCTCCGGGCCGGGTAACTCCTTCCCTCTTCCGTTTTTTCATGGGGGTCTTGAACCATTCTTAGTCTGGCCCCTCGCCTGAGACCACTTTGCCAAGGGTAACCCTACCAGGAGCACAAGGCTCCCGACAACACAGCCCTCAGGTTCATAGGGACACACAAACCTCTCCACCACGATAAGGTGACGGTTCCCAGAGAGAGACAGGACACTGAATTTAGAGCAGAAGGAATGGCTTCTTTAAATGAAGCTACAGCGGTATCCGATAAGCGTCGACTGTACAAACCCTTGGCAGAGGGAGAAGATTCCGGTAGAAGAAATTCAAAGGTTATCAGACAATGGTCCGACAGGAGAGGGTTCTGTGGAAAAATTGTTAGATGTTCAATCCCAATCCCATACACAAGAACCAAGTCGAGAGTGTGGTTAAAACAGTGAGTTGGTTTATTTACACACTGACAGAAACCAATTGAATCTAACAATGAAAGAAATGAAGTACCAAGGCTGTCGTTATCACCATCCACATGAATGTTAAGATCACCCACTATAATTATCTTGTCCGTTTTAAAGGACCAAACTTGTTAAGAACTGTGAAAATTCAGATGGAAATTCTGAATAAGGACCTGGGGCCCTGTACACTATTACAAAGAGAACCGGCTGGATTATTTTCCAGGTTGGTTATGAAAGACTGAAAACCAGGCTTTCAAATGAGTTATAATCCATTTTAGGTTTAAGGCAGGGGTGTCAAACTCATTTCAGTTTTGGGCCAGATACTGTCCATTTCGACCAATATGAGTATTAACATGACTCAGAGGAGTTGCTTCATTTAAGCAGAAATATTCCTCATTCGATAGCCACGTTACAATAAGTAAAATATATCAACATGGTGATCAGAGTTCATTTACAACAGCTTTAGATGACAGAGATCTAATATTAAAAAGTCCACCTTTGATCCTCCTATTTTGTTGCACTGTTGCATTATTGGTTTTAACTTAACTGATTAAAACTCTGCTTCCTGGTCTGAACTTTGGGTCATGATTAAGTCCACTAAGAAACTGGGTCAGATTCTTAGAAATAAGTTCAGCTCCATCCAACGTGGGATGGATGCCGTCCCTCCTAATCAGACCAGGCTCTCCCCAAAACGTCTTCCAGTGATCAACGAAGCCCACATTATTTACTGGGCACCACCTTGTCAACCAGCGGTGGAATGACCACATGCGGCTGTACATGTCGTCACTGATCAAGCTTTGGAGGGGGCCAGAGAAAACTACGGTGTCCGACATTGTTTTAGCGTATGTACACACCGATTCCACATTAACTTTATTGAGCTCCGAGTGACGTAATCACGTGATGTTAATGGCCTGTATATATACAGTATTCGGTTTAAAAATCCTGAATTCTTAAAATGCAGCACAATCAAAAGTACTGTTTCCTCTTACTGTTATGTTCTTTTTTTCAGGCATATCCATTAGATACATGTTTGCAAAATTCTGGTGTATAGCACTACATCATACTAAAATCAACATTTTAGCATATTTTAACGTAGTGTTCAAAGTAAAAACGCTTAATATTTCCTATATGTAATACAACATGCTTGAAAGTTTCAACCTCAAGATACCAGTTCAGCAGAAGCTTTTTGCCATAGTTAATTGGAATATTACAAGAAAAAAAGAACAGAGAACTTTTTTTGTGCAGATATCATATTTGATAATAATATATTATAAAAGTTTTTCCCTGCGTAACAGGATAGTGATATCCCTTATTGACGGTGTTTAATTGTAATGATACAGGCACATTCTGTAAAATATTCGTGCTTCTCTGCAAAACCTTTTCATTATTAAATCAAAACATCTTATTAAATGAATATAAGTAATGAGTATAGGTAACACAACTTAAGTATATCTCATTCCACAAATTGATGATGCACAGTTGATAGTTAGTCAGGAAGTTTTTTCATTCTATGGAAGACTCAAAAATCATTTTTTCGCCTGTGATCTCTGATGTTCTTGTTGATGTTATTTTATCTTATTTAGGAGATATCTACTATACTGCAGTATTGGAGGATCTGGAAGTGGAGGGTCAGGACTTTAAAGCTGACTCATGGAGCATGGCTGTGGACACCAGCTATTTGCAGACACACCGCAAAAACATTATCAAGAGGCAGGATGTCATCTATGGTGATATATATATATTTTTTTTTACGCACAAATTTTATGTTTTGCTGAAAATACAGTAGCTGGAAGTTTTACATGTACATTGATGGTATTTACCATAGCAAGACTTAAAAAAGAATGCCATGTATACTTTGGCATACTATACTTTCATTGCCTATGCTGACTACTACATGACGTGTGTGTGTTGTGCGCGGGTGTGTTTGTGTGTATTCGTATGTGTGTGCCTCTCTCTCAGAGCTGATTCAGACAGAGCTGCACCACATGCGAACGCTGCATATCATGGAGAGGGTGTTCCGGCAAGGCATGCTGGAGGAGCTTCAGCTGGACCTGTGCACCGTGTATGCCATGTTCCCCTGCCTGGACCAGTTGACCAGGATACACTCCCATTTCCTGTCTCAGCTTCTTCTGCGGCGCAACAGCAGCCTGCAATCTGGATCCAGCCGCAACTTCACAATTCACCAGCTTGGGGACATACTACTAGAGCAGGTTTATACCATACCAAAGAAAATAATCAAAGAAGGGAAGGCGCATAATTCAGGCTTAAAACAACCATGTTTGAAACTGACTAATACAAGAAGAATAGCCAGCAATAAATCTCCAACTGTACAAATTAAATTGATTTACTCTATATATATATCACTATTATTACATTAACTTATTATATTATTTAACTTTCCACGTACCCACCTTTGATTGGTCGGAAGACGATGCTTCTATATAGTTGATCTATTATCTCTTTAACCTGAAGTTACCTCGCCAACCCCAAATCCTACTTTGTAGCACAGGCCTTAGGTGTGAACCCTGTCTCCACACTCAACATATCAACTTGTGCATTTGGTCTTCTGCCAGTTTTCAGGCCAGTTTGCGGATGAGATGCGGAAGACCTACGCTGAGTTCTGTAGCCGCCACTTGAAGGCTGTCAAATTGTACAAGGAACTGCTGGCCAGAGACAAGAAGTTACAGTGCTTCATACGGGTGAGACAGGAACAAAAACACAAATATACATAAAATAGACAACATATTGTGCATGAGTCGTTAGTTCATACATAGTATTGCATTTGGTTCATTTCAGCAACTAATTACACTTTTCAAAACATGTTCAACAAGCATGGTAATCTAAAATGAATTGGATCCTACCTCCATCCGCAGAGCAGTTTTTCAATATATGTCTGGGACAGGCGCTCATTCAGTGTTAGTACATCTTAGATCACTTAACGTAGTATGAAGACATAGTCCACACACTTGGTGGTGTAATATAAAACACAGGACTTCAGGAGAGGAGAACGCTGTTACTGTGAAACCAAAGGTAATATTGATATTTTGTCACTGCAGTTGTTAATCATCATCATCAGTATTTCTTCAACTTTCAGTGTTTCTGGGTTCTTCTGTGTGGCACTTTGACCATTGCCCTTTCGGTTTTGAGAACCAGGAGTTTGGAACAAAAATAGGAAATTAATTTGCATTAATTGAAAGGGTTGTCAGCAGGAAAAAGGGACAGTCTTACGGTCTTATTGCAGTTAGCAGTAATGTTTTCCTGTATCTGTCCTTGTAAAAGCGGAACTGGATCATCCTGTTCCTACGCTTTCTCTGCAGTAGGTGGTGAGAGTGGACTGGGTTATCCAATATGTTTTTTAGTTCTATAGTTTTTTCAGTGTCCTCCTCTCCCCCACCTGTTTTGGATGCTCCTGTTCGCAGCCAATGATGGAGCTGCACTTCTTCACCAGCTTATTGAGTGCAGCTCCAGCGCTGCAGAGTACAGAGCACTAGCCTCAAGAGACTGGTAGAACATCTCAAACATCTTGCTGCACATGTTAAAGGATCGAAGTTTCCTCAAGAAAAAGAGTTGACTCATCCCCTTCTTGTACACAACGTTGACGTTGGCCTTCCAGTTCAGTATGTTGTTGGTGGAGACACTTCACCCAGAACTCTCATTGGTTGTGTACAAGGTTAACAGGAAGAAAGACAGGACAGTTCCCAGTGGAGCTCCGGTGATACTGACCGCCACATCAGACAGCAGACGGCCCTGTCGGACCAACTGTGGTCTGCCTGTGAGGTATTCAGTGATCCAGGAGATGGTGGACACGTTAACCCCCGCCACCCAAGCTTCACACGTGGCAGCAGTGGTTGGATATTGAATGCACTGGAGAAGTCAAAGAAAGCAACGTGATCTCCAAAACATGTTCGTAAAAATGTATACGAAAATCCTGAACATACAAATTCGTAACAATACATAGGAACTGGCGGTGGTTAACCACGCCCCTTGAGTGAACAACATGGCGGACCATGTTGGATTCTTGAGTGAACGTCTCTCCGCCATGTTGGATTTTTTGAGGGGGTTAGAAGATGCAGAGCGGAGAGTGCGGGTTGGGATGTAGGGTTTGACCATGTCCTGGATGTAAGCTGGACCCGATCCATTCACAGCATGGTACGTGAGCACCAATGTTTTGAACTGGATGCAGGATGTTGACTCTGCAGTCCAGATACAGTGGAATGGACGGTGTCCACTGCTGCTTCTGTCTCAGCTGATGGTGGCACCTAAACGGCGACTGTGATGCCAAATGTGAACTCCTTCGGCAAATAATATGGACACATCCCCAAGTCTAACTGTTCAATGTCCGGGCTGCAGAAGCGCTCCTTCACACAAACACAGTCAGGATTGCACCAGCTCTCAATCCCGCCACCTCTCTTCGCATCGCTGAGACAATAATCAGACCCAAGCCCTTCTCTGCAGCTCCTTTGGGATCTTGGGCCTGGCGCCAAGCAAAAGCTGCGCTTTGCTCAGCACAATCAGCTGACCATGGGAATAAACAATGGCCTTAGTTATCGTTTGTGGTTCACCATTACAAACCTTACAAAAGGTAACAGAAAAGCCACGAGAATGTTAAGTAAAAGGTTCAGTCCATTTTCACGCTGTAATATAAACCAAACGTGATAGAAACGTAAATCAAAAATAATAATATTATATAACAATTAACTAAAACACAGCAAGCTACAGCCACAAGCAATCGCTGGCCCGGCGACATCTTGGAGGCTTGTATCTAATCCAAAGACACACACGTGCTGACGTCACTGTATGCCTGCTAGGTGGCCCCTGTGTCGTCAACTCGACATCTGATTGATTTACGCCAAGGTTTTGTTTCAATTCGCTATAATATATCAAAACTAAATATATATTCTGATGGCGTTAAGGCCAATCGAGAGTCCTCGCAGTGAAGTTGTGATTGATACGCTGTTTTTGTTTTAGAACTTTAACCCTTTAGAGCAGGGGTCTTCAACGTTTTTCAGGCCAACGTTTTTACTTTTACTTCTGTGTGTTTCCCCGTGGTGCAACTAATAAAGGATTATCTCTCAAACAAGAGAATGTGGCTCGCTAGAGATTGTGATTGAGCAGCGGCGTTAAACTAAATATCCTCATACTGCAATTGGTTGTTAATTGAGTTCAGCACAGAATTGGTAAAGTAAAGATTAGGCAGTAAACCGCTTCTCCTATTCAGTGGTAGCTTGATCTGGCATTCTCCATATGAGAAGGGAGTTATGTATAAAAGGTTTTAATTCAGGCACTTCTATTTAATTTGCCTTATTCTTATGTCTGTTACAAAACAGTGGTCTGGACCTTTAAGGTTGCCTTCCACACAAACAAAAAAGTAACCCATGCTTGTTTTGTCTGTGTTTGTGTCTATCTCTCTGTCACTGGGTAGCGGATGAGTCGTGGACCCCTGCTACGTTGCCATGGTGTTCAGGAGTGCATCTTGTTGGTCACTCAGCGGATCTCCAAGTATCCTGTTCTTGTTCAGCGTATTCTGGATAATACCACTGGTAAATAATTTCAATCAAAGCAGTTCAAAATTAGTCAAGAATAGGAATTTTGTTAATTAATTTTCCAATGTTCACATTTTATAATGAACAATCACAGTGTAGAGGTATAACCTAATTTTTTTTATTTTATTGATCTACTTGTGGTCATGTAAATGTTCAATAGTCGAGGCTGCCTAAAGGCAGGTAAAGCTTGTGTCATTGTTGCATTGAATTTATACGTGCAATGTAATTCCACCAACCAAAAGTACGCTCGTTCAAGTAAGTGTAATAATGAAAATTAATTCAAGGAAGTCAAGTCGCAAGACCGCTTGCCTGCAAAGTAAAAGTTGTACGTTTTCAAGCATGTTCATTATGTCTTTTAATGTATTAACTTACTAAAGTATTTTACATCGGATAACTGGTACTGTCAAAAAAGCCAGTAACCCAGAGAAAATTCTCTCTTTCTACATTGAGACTCATCATGCAGCTCCACTCCATCGCCTCGATCATTCAACTAAATATTTTTTAAATCCTTCATTAAAATCAGTAAACTGTTAACACAACACAACAATCACATACCCATTATTCAGTTGTGGAAAAGGTTGCAGAAGTATGGCATTGTACCATTTATTTATTAAGGTCATTGATAAGAATATTTGTTTATTATTTAATTTAGGCTTTCTCAGATTGATCGCTGGAGGAAACAAGTTTGTAAACGAGCAACGTTTAGTTTGAAGGCAAGCTGTTTTATTCAACTCTTGAAAATGAATTTTCAGTATTGAATTACCACGCACAATATACAAAGTGATGCTGCACTAAATAACATGTTACCAACCAAAATGATTCCCAAAGCAATAGTACTTAGAACTTTTTTTTTTCTACAAGGATAATAACAGTGACTTCATATAATACTAATACATACATTGCTGGCTTGGGTTTTTGTACCTCCACAAAATTGCTGCTTGTTGATTTATTTTCCAGAAGATGAAGAAGAAGCCTCCTCTCTGGCCCAGGCTCTCGCCATGGTCAGACAACTTCTTTGTTCGATAGACCAACAGGTACCAAACTATTTCCTTGGCCAGAATATAAAACAATTTAAATGCTATTGCCTTGTTGTTCTAAAGGCATTTTATAGCACTCAGATCTGGTTTGCTATGAGACAAAAGAACAGGAATAAAAAACAGCATAATGAATGACAATTGAAAAGAATTGTCAGCAGTCGTGTTCATTTGATTTTGGTGTGTGTGTGTGTGTGTGCGTATCATATAATACTACTGTTAACAATTGCTCAAAGCAGCAATAAAATAGTAATTTAGTTGTCATACATTAATGACACAAAAACAGTCAGCCTTTAAAAGTGTCCTTTTATCTAACTTAATGATCTTAGGTATAATAGATGAAAACACACTACAATCCCCAATGTAATTTAAGCTGGGAATTTGTTTTGCATGGTTTCCTAATATATTCAATTGAAATGTAATTTGCATTCATTAAAAATGTGTTCTCCATATGGAAGATGACTTTTATCACGGTTGGCAGATGGAAGATCTGGAGAAAACACAGTGTCTGCAAGAGATCCAGGCCAAGCTGGACCCACGAGCCGTGACAAAAGTAAGAGATGGTGGACTTTTCAAAACTGGAGAGTTGTTCCGCCGGAGACTTGTTCATAATGGGACCCTTTTTTGGAAAATCCCAGGATCCCGACTCAAAGGTATGCAGTGCTGTGAAAACTTCACTTTGTGTGTAAAGTATTTAGTATGAAGCACTGGACAGAATTATAATCACAAAACATTTTATTTATATAGTGCTTTAAAAGACATAAGAACAAAAGCAATAACATCATTGCAGTCAGGAACAACATGAGAATAAAGAAATAAAACATTACTGACTTTACAAGTATAAAGCAGCGAGTGACAGAGAATGTCAGAGGTAGGGTGCAGCGATGGAGATGGAGCTTTGACACGATCGGTGGGCTGAAAGGTGGCGATTGTGTTTCCTTCTCTTCCCTGAAGAGTATTCTTATAAATAATGTATTTATATATATATATATATATTAATTAATATATTATATATAATATACAATATATATATTAATATATTATATATAATATATATATATAAATATATATATAAATATTATATATAATATATTAATATATTATATATATATATATATATAAATATTATATATAATATATTAATTAATATATATTACAGTTAGTTCGAGCCCGCAACTGCTTCTGGAGTCCCACCATATATATAAACCTTGGAGATCTCTTCAGTGGAACGGCTTCCCTGACCACAGGTGTCAGCTACGGTGTTTGAGGGTAACTGCCCCTTGATGCACCTAAACTTGGAGGCCACAACACACTGCCAGAGCTTCAGCAATGGAATTTTTGAACATACACCATTCTGGTTCAATGTCCAGAGAAATGAGAGAGAAGCTGCGCCGGGGGTGTTAGTTGAAAATTCTTTGGACTCGGAGCAGGCGATGCAATCACAAATCTTTGGCCTAGGGTGCCACGTATACTTGAACATCCTTATGTAATCCCGGAACTGGCACAGAGTTCCAATAACAAACAACCGCTTGGGTTAAGATCAAGGACGTGACTCCAGTTCCTTTGAAGTCTCCCAGTGGAGCCCCAAACAGTACTCCGAGAAGGCTAAATACTCAGCTATTTAGGTGCATACGCACAGATAACAGCAAGAGCCCCCCCCGGTGAGCCTCACCAGATCTAATTGATAGCGCTACACCTCCACAATCTCTGGCTGACGTGACGAGATGTGATGTTCCACGTCCCCAGAGCCAGCATCTTCCGCCGAGTTCTGGTCTGTTGAGACCCCCCCCACTATCACTGCCACCCTTGCAGCAGCGCCCATGAGAATGAGGGATAAGGAGTGCCTTGTCACTCCTTTGGGCTCGGCCGGGCAGCTCCTTTCCTCTTCCACTTTGTCATAGGGTCTTTGTGAACCATTCTCAGTGTGGCCCCTTGCCTAAGACGACTTTGCCAAGTGCAACCCTACCAGGAGCACCAGGCTCCAGATAACACAGCCCTCGGGTTCATAGGGACACAAAACCTCTGCACCGTGATAAGATGCTGGTTCCCCGAAAAGCGTAGGGTGTATACCCACTAGAAAAAGTCAAGGATTTCCAAATACCCCCCAACAAAAGCACGATGATACAGATACAGACTATTCTGTCACTCACAAATTCACCCCGTCAAAAGGCAGTCACGTCACGCACGTCACAAGACCAAAACTTTAGCGATCCTCACTTACTGACGGACGCATTCTCCTAACTAACGCTAGTCTGTAGTCACGCAGTTCCGCCACTCACGCTAAAAAGCCTCCTTGGTTCCTATTCAACCTACCCATACGTCCCCCCCCCCCCCCCCGCGGCCAGCAGTCACAGGATACTCACTACACAAATATACACAACACCCCTGCCGGAAAAACATAAAGATGTATGTCTGGGCCGTGAATTAACTTGTTGCCACCAACGTCAATACCAGCGGCTCGACAAACAATGCAGTAAATAACTTTTTCTTAACTTACGTCGTATTTTTCAAAAGCAAAAACCTCAGCAGACACAGCTCCTCTCTTGGGCACAAGTTGTGTAAGTGCATCGCTGGTCGTTGTTCCTTCTGCGTGGCTCTTTTTCTGTGTTTTCATGCAGCGACAGCTAGAGTGAGCTGTACAAAGGTCATTTTATAAATGTAAAATTATTAGTGTAACAAATTGTTTGTGTCACAAACTTTGGTTTTGCTGTGTTTTACCGTGTGAAACAGCATTAACTGCGGGTTATTGATTGTTGTTATAAAGGTATAACCATGACTCAATCTCAAAACATGTCAGATAACTACCTCCGACTGCTGCGCTCTTTGCAATGAGCGAGTGAACGATATATTTTGTCGCCTACCGAAGAGTGAAAACAGTTGTTACAGTTGTTTCCAGTATGACTGTGTGAAAAATTCATACCATTGGGAAATTTGTAACCGGTATGCCGCCCCGCCCTACTAAGACAAAACCTTTAAGGTTTTCCCAACAACATCAAACAACCTTTAGGTTTAAGTTGTGATCTTTAATGGGTTTTTTTCCTGTTGGTTTCTCCAACACAAAGTTGTTTCATTGTTTCCTAGTTTGAAATCAAAATGGGCTTGGGCTTAAACTGCCACAGCTCTGCTACTACTACCGGGTCTTTTCCACCTCTTTTCCAAAAAGTATCAAAAGCAGGGTGAGCAGGTGGGAGAAATGAGCTGATGAGGTGAGTGGCTGGAAGTTAACTGGCACTTAATGAACTGATTAGGTATCAACTTCCAGCCACTCACCTCATCAGCTCATTTCTCCCACCTGCTCACCCTGCTTTTGATACTTTTTGTTCCCCCGATTTAATGCCAAACCTTCCAGCATATACACTTGGACTGATTCCTCTTTGCTGACTCTGCCTGTTTTTGACAATCCAGCCTTGCCTCTGCCCCGGTAATTCACCCCACCTTATTTCTTTGACCACAAGATCCTGCAGTCTTTACCCTATGTGTATCTGTTACAAAAATAAAGACTGTTTGTGGGTCCATACCTTGCCAGTTATATCAACACAATTTCAGCTTTTGGTCTATAAGACAAAAGAAAATGTATTTTGGGGACACAGAATGGCTTCAGGTGTAATGGTTACATTTTTATTTAATGATCTAAATAATAACTTGAATGTGTTTCTGCCTGTGATTGAATGTTGTGTGTCTTGTGTTGCGTAGATACACAGGTCTTATTGATGACAGACATCCTAGTGTTTCTGCAGGAGAAAGACCAGAGATACATCTTTCCATGTCTGGTAAGAATATGTATCCACTTACATATGAATACAGACTCAAATTTAAGGGATCCATTGTTTGATGTTAATGAATGGAAAAACAAGTATTCATATTTACGTTTTTACTTCTCTTTGTGTCTTCTTGTGTCTTTTTTCTTTAAAAAAACTGTCCTGTGTGATCTAGGACAAATCTCCAGTACTTTCCCTTCAGAACCTTATAGTGAGGGATATAGCAAATCAGGAGCGGGGCATGTTCCTCATCAGTGACTCTTCTCCTCCTGAGATGTATGAGTTCCATGCTGCCTCCAAGGAAGACAAGAACGTCTGGATGCGCCACATCCAGCGCACCGTCAGCAAGTGGGCAAATGCACCGACACACACAAACATTATTCTCTCTGCTTAGCTCAAATAATTGTTATCAACGTAAACAAATATTTTTATTATGTTTAGTATTTAATCTTATCTGTCGAACTAACATGACATCATAATGGGCTTGTGGACCCAATTTGTACATGACACATCGGGCCTACCAGTAATGCAATGGAGGGAGCAATAATCGGGGGCGGGAGTAATAGTTTGCCGAACGAGTAGTAGCGCTAACCATCGCGTCCCATTTTTTCCTGCTTCATTCGCGCCTGAAAGGGGCCGTGGCCTATCTCTGGTCTCTGTAAAGACATTATATAAGACGTTATAATTGCTGCTATCCACCGTGGCAATAAATAACCACAATTTCTGCTCTTTATTTGTTGTGTGAATTACACAAACATTGGAACTGCAAACGGTGTTGTGTTCGGGTTCATGACATCATCCGTCGCCACACACAGCTTGAATGTCACCGACTCGTCCAGGTGCGTCTGGATGACTGCGGCTTCCAGCACTGCTTCAGGCGGACCAGCAGCCGGTCTGATGACCTGTTGTGTCGGTTACACACAAACTAAATTACAGGCGTTCAGTCTCAGCTGTGTGTCTCTAGCAGTTTAATAAAGTGTATTCACGCTGTGGCAGCAGGATGGCAGTGATGACGAGTGGAGCATCTCGCCGCTGATTGGCTTTCGCAAGACAGTATTGGGTGAATTTTTCGACAAACAATCTATCCGCTTCGCTCCTTTAGTTTTTTCGTGTCCCACGCGCTGCTCGTTTAAAATGAGTCTCATTCGCAACCAGACGCGTCTGTGCATTGACTTTGCATGGGATCAACTCGCGCAAATAATTTTCTTCGCTTTTGGTGTGAACGCACCATTAGACTGGTGGCGGGCATCGTTTGGCATTCCTCGACTAATGTCTAGGGGAGCCGGGGAGTAACAAATGAAGATCATGACGATTAGATCAGGAATTGGTAAACAGATTTGTCAATGAATCCAAACGCCCATATCACGTACAAACTCAAAACAACAGTAGAAAACCTGCCACCACAGGCAAACACCTACACACACTGCAGGGTGCATGCACTCCAAATCCAAGCTGTCTTCGGCCTTGCTTTCCCCCGCCTCTTATCCACCGTGGCATCAATCAGTCGATTTGCCTCTAGCCTCACTCACTAGGGGTTTCAGCGCTACCTGAAGAGAGAGCAAAAAGAAAGTACACAACCGTACACCCCCTCCCATGAGACCAAACTACGGTTTGACCAGTGTCCCATCAACACCCCCCATATGCTTTATCTACGCGAACAACCACATCAAAACATCTTACCCATGGGATAAAGCATCAGTGACCACATTTTCTACCCCCTTTTATCCGTTATTTCAATATTGAACCCCTGCACCAACAAGGCCCAAGCAATAATTGGCCTCAGCGGTTTGCAATAGTTTGAATTGTTTGTCTCAGTTTTGATAAGCAGTAGTGGCAATCCGGCGAAGGAAAAGGACAAGTGAGATGAGAATTCCTGAGTTTAACTTTGTCCCGGTTTGGGTTAATGTCATGTTTTATTTTGTAGTTTTCTGCCTCTTGTCTCCCTGGGTAACTTCACTTCCTGCCTTGTCCTGTCATCCCCTGTGATTGTCTAATTGCTTCCACTTGTGTCCAATCACCTGCACCTCCCTAGTGTATTTAAGCCATGTGTGTCTCTTGTCACTTGTCGCGTCATTGTTATTTGTACGGAAGCCCATGTCCACGTCATAGTTCCTGTCGCCTGTTCCTCGACTGCGTTTTGCCTTTTTGTAAATTTGAGTTCCTTTTTGTTTTTGGAGAGTCCTACCTTTCCCCGAGAACCTTCCTGACAAGCTTACTGCTGCAAAGAGAATCTAAATAAAACCAGATTACAAACCAGCAATTTGTGTGCACTTCATTCCTGTGAACCCCCACAGAACCCCTCGTAACCACACACACGTTACATCAACCTATATTGTGTGTGTGAGTTATTCTGTTACTCAGGATGTTCATAGGGGGCATAGAACTTGGTAGTGGTAGGGCAGTGTCTTTTCTAAGAATTTAAATGAGAGAGTTACAGAGTGCTGTATCTTTGTTATGAAGCTTATCTGAAGATGCTTCGTGGCTTTTCTAAACGTTTGCTTAATTTCATATACTTTTATTTGTAATAAAATGTAGAGAGAATTTATATTCTAAAACAACAGCCTTCTAATAGCTTATACGTCCACCAGGAAAAATCCAATTACGAGAGGTCAGACCGCTGGAGTCCATTTATCCAGCCACGTGCTGTTCAGGGTGGACTGCTTCTATCCATTACAGCTCCATTAGTTTTGTCTACTACCGTCTCATTTCCCCTGCTGTTTCTGTCTGTCCTCCTCCGTTCTATCCGTTCAGTCTGTTTTTCTTCCCCTCTTAGTTAGCAGTTTCCTCTTTTATACTCTTATATTTGTATACCTCTTTGCCCCTTGATAGGTGGGTTGATGATCAGGTAATTAGTCCAGATTAAAACAATGAGTGCTTTGTGATGCCCAATGGGATAAAAGCTGTTTCATTTTCAGAAATTTGGAGGAGTAAGTGGGATGGTTTGAAAAAAAGGCAGAGAAATTTAGGAAGAATATTCATCTTCAGAATATTAATATGCCCAATCATGGAAATTGGGATGGATTTCCCTCTATTAATGTATTCAACTACTGACTCTGTCACAGGATTATAGTTAGTCGGCACAGATTCTAAAGTAGGCGTTATTTCAACACCACGGTATGTAAAGTTGTCCACAATATTCCTAAATGGTCTATTTAGTGGTGGATCCCTGACATCCCTTGTAGACTGTAGACTTGGATGCATTAACCCGAGACATTACCATATGTATTAGATTTAATAAAGAACGTATAGATTTCTCACAGAGAGCACTATATCATCAGCAAATAGTGTCATGGTTTACGGCTTTCTGTGTATCCCATATTCATCTGGGCCCTGTGAAAGGGTTCTCTAAAGCAAGTGAAATACTCTCAAAAAAAGAAATGGCCTGAAACCCAGCACTGTGGAAAAGTTGCTATTCCTAAATTAAAATGAATTAAAATGTTTCACATGTTGTCCTTAGTAAAATAAGTAGAGTCACAAACCAAGAAGTCTATACATATTTGGCCGTGGCTCAATGGGTAGAGAGGCTTGCACAGTAATTGTAAGGTTGACGGTTGGATCCTTGGATTTTTTTTTTTTTTTAATACTTTTCACATCCCAACCCTCTCCCCAATTTGTTTCCACTTCTTTTTTGGGGAAACTCTGCCATTGTATCATAAAGAAAGACACCATATTAATACATTCATAAGTTAGATATTACACATCAAACTTCATTGATTTATTCAATGCTTCACACACCAAAGCCATGGTCTCATTTTATTTATTGTCCACTCAATGGCGCAGTAGAGCAAATGAAGTACCATGAAGCTACGGCTCCTGTGTGCAACAATTGGATGGAAAGCTTTAGTGCTTCATAAAGCTTCATCTCGCCATCACTACAAAACAACTCCAGCGGTAGCGAGGCAAAAATCTACAACAGGGGAAGTCACAAACGTTAATCGCGATAGTCATGAGAGTCACATGAGGGAACGGATAATGACGATCTGAGATTGCATTTAAGTTCCCTGTAAAAAAATTATCGCAAACTTTCCACCCCTTTGCAACTCTAATTAAAATATATTTTTCTCAGTATTCTGTGTTTGACTGATAATATACAACAAATGTATTACTACTGTTATAACAGGTGTTCGCTAAACGGTTGCATTTGCAATTGTGTTAGTTGTTAAAGTGTCAGTAATTGTGTGGAAGCAAATTCCTTGCACTAAGAAAGCCTAAAACTTAGAAAACTGTCACCCATTGTGGACTACTTTTGAATCCGTCGGTTCAACATTTTGACCGTTCTTGATCTTAACTTCCCATGGAATTACCAAAAATATTTTGCCCCTTTGTAACCGTAACCCTAAATGAACTCCAGTACAACCAGAACTCTCCCTTGATCAAATCGCCCCTGTTGTAATATTTGTATTATTATTATAGTATAATGTGGTTGTTGTACCAATGCATCTTGTATCAGTATCATGTTTAACAGTACATTTTTTTAAATTAGTAAACAACTAATGCACATCAGAAATATTACAGAAAAGCAGACCATGTTCATCCCATCATTGATAACAGGCATCGTTGATTGTGATCTTTGCTTTTTGTTTGCTCAGGTGCCCGTCACGAGAGGAGTTCCCCCTCATAGAGACTGAACAGAAAGCCCATCTCAGGAGCCTCAAATGTAAGGAAAAATGGATCAAAGCAGTTTTTACATAGCTTTTAACTGTATTTCTCTTGAATGAACTCATAGTCTACTCCTCTGTATTCCAGCTATGACTCAGTCATTTCGTCTTTCTGTTCTGTGAACTCCTGTTCATGAAGATTCATTCTCCCCTTTTGACCGGTTAATGGGACATTAATGTATAGGGCTGGTTATTAGCGCAGAATTCGGTTTACCATTAAAAAAAGTTATTATATAGCACCAGACCCGTGGAGAGGCATTCAAAGGGCTGAACCCAGACTACAAAGCAAAGTGTATATTAGTTATATACAGTGCATCCGGAAAGTATTCACTGCGCATCACTTTTTGTTATGTTACAGCCTTATTCCAAAATGGATTCAATTCATTATTTTCCTCACATAACATTCTACACACAACAACCCATAATGACAAAGTGAAAACTGTTTTGCAAATCTTTTCAAAATAGAGAACGAAAACATAACATGTACATAAGTATTCACTTTGTTGAAGCACCTTTGGCAGCAATTACAGCCTCAAGTCTTCTTGGGTATGATTCCACAAGCGTGGCGCACCTATTTCTTGGCAGTTTCTCCCATTCTTCTTTGCAGAACCTCTCAAGTTCTATCAGGTTGGATGGGAAGCGTCGGTGCACAGCCATTTTCAGATCTCTCCAGAGATGTTCAATCGGGTTCAAGTCAGGGCTCTGGCTGGGCCACACAAGGACATTTACAGAGTTGTGCCGAAGCCACTCCTTTGTTACCTTGGCTGTGTGCTTCGGGTCGTTGTCCTGTTGGAAGATGAACCGTCGCCCTAGTTTGAGGTCCAGAGCGCTTTGGAGCATGTTTTCATCGAGGATGTCTCTGTACATTGCTGCATTCATCTTTCCCTCAATCCTGACTAGTCTCCCAGTTCCTCCCGCTGAAAAAAATCCCCACAGCATGATGCTGCCACCACCATGCTTCACTGTAGGGATGGTATTGGCCAGGTGATGAGCAGTGCCTGGTTTCCTCCAGACACGACGCTTGGCATTCAGGCCAAAGAGTTCAATCTTTGTTTCATCAGACCAGAGAACTTGGTTTCTCATGGTCTGAGAGTCCTTCAGGTGCGTTTTGCAAACTCCAGGCGGGCTGTCATGTGCTTTTTACTGAGGAGTGGCGTCCGTCTGGCCACTCTACCAAGCAGGCCTGATTTGTGGAGTGCTGCAGAGATGGTCTTTCTGGAAGGTTCTCCTCTCTTCATAGAACAACGCTGGAGCTCTGTCAGAGTGACCATCGGGTTCCTGGTCACTTCCATGACCAAGGCCCTTCTCCCCCGATCGCGCAGTCTGGCTGGGCGGCCGACTCTAGGAAGAGTCCTGGTGGTTCCAAACTTCTTCCATTTCCGGATGATGGAGGCCACTGTGCTCATTGGGACTTTCAATGCTGCAGAAATCTTTCTGTACCCTTCGCCAGATCTGTGCCTCGATACAATTCTGTCTCGGAGGTCTACAGATAATTCCTTGGACTTCTTGGTTTGGTTTATGCTCTGATATGCACTGTCAACTGTGATACCTTTATATAGACAGGCGTGTGCCTTTCTCAATCACGTCCAATCAACTGAATTTAGCACAGGTGGACTCCAATCAAGTTGTAGAAACATCTCAAGGATCATCAGTGGAAACAGGATGAACCTGAGCTAAATTTTGAGTGTCACGGCAAAGGCTGTGAACACTCATGTACATGTTATATTTTCGTTCTTTATTTTTAACAGATTTGCAAAGATTTGCCAAAAAAGTTTTCACTTTGTCATTATGGGTTGATGTGTGTAGAATGTTTAGGGAAATAATTTATTTAATCCATTTTGGAATAAGGCTGTAACATAACAAAATGTGGAAAAAGTGAAGCGCTGTGAATACTTTCCGGATGCACTGTATGATATGAGTTGCTCTAGATTTATAGACACATACATGTTGTATTTTGTATTGTAGAGTGCCCAAATTCCCGAGCAGCCACCCAGCACTGTTGAAAACACAATGAAAACTGTGTTTGGGGATATTATCATGGTGAATGCATGGTTAAGGGAAAGCTCATTAACCAAAGCGCACCCAAACATGCACGTTTCTCACCAATGTGATGTAAAACTGTGGTGTATAAATATAGGAAAATTCACATACTGATGCAAGCTTTTGTGACTAGCCCTGTTTCACAACCAACATTTATACAACTAAACTGCCATCACAGTTACAATTTGAGAAAAATCCCTATCCTCTACTATAAATAAAAATAAAGCATGGTATACTGGTACCATGGGGAAGATCATACATGCACCATGCACATAGGTGTATCTATGACAGGTAGAATGATATAGGTTTGGGGTGTTGATTGGATCTGAAAATTGGTTAAAATGTTGTCATGGGGATGTGATCATATGTTGTTTAGACTTTTGTTGGAAACATAATTGATTAATCCTGAGAAACCATTCACAGCTGACCTGCAGCAAAAGGATAGAGAAATGCTGGAGCTCCTGCAGGAGAGGGTGACTCTATTCTGTGAGCTGGCAGAGGTGACAAGTGGTGAGGAGGCCCTTCAACCTCCCATCACTCGCTACTTTTTCAGGGCAGACACACCCCAAGCGCCCCGTGCTGAGAAACTCCTACTGGATGCCACAGCTGAGGGTAACGCACCAACTCAAAACAATCGTGCCAACTCAAAACAATTTATACTAGTGCGTTAGTTGTTCAGACCAGCTGGTAATACAGGTTAACATGCATCGTTTCAGTTTTCCTGAACTTTTTTTGTAATTTAAATTAACATTTGTTATTCCCGACCTTGAAATGAATTGTTTTCGTATCCATGAGCCTAACACATTAAATGATGAGACGGCCTGTCATTGTCAAATATGCCATCAACCATGAAAGGGGTGTCAAATTCAATCACAGAGAGGGCCAAAATTGAAAACTGGGAATACGTTGATTCCAAACAGCGTCAGCATTTGCTGAACAGGATAGAAAGGATATGGCATAGTGCCAACAGAAAACAAAATTAGGTAGGCTTCTATTCTTTCATGCAGATGTACGAGAGACAGATGTTTGGCATTTTTTCTTGGCTGCCTGTTCACTAATGTTGGGGGTTAAGTTCTGTGCTGTGGAAACCCTCAAGATGGAGTGAAGATGTGCATCAGTAAGACTCTTACTTACTCTCAATTATGTTGAACAATTAAGTGGCATCAACTCAACTTGGTTTGATTAATATATTTGTTAAATATACAGCAGTAAATTAAATATAACCCTCCCAAATTAATTAGTTGATCTTGGTACTTAATCCATTTTGAAAAAGAAAACGAGCGGTCTAAAAAAGAAAGTTTTGACCTGAACAAGAATTTGTCCCAAACATTTTTAAACATTTGCCGTTTTGTCATTCAATGTCCTGATGAACTCCGAGAAGACAAAATCATATCTGCTTTAGCCAGAGACAGGGCAGTCTCAAACTTTTGTTTTGAGAGCTTGTGCTTTCATGGATAGTTTGTTTCCATCTAGTTCCATAATCAGTGTGTTTACATGATGGTATAATTCGAATCTTTGCTTAGTCGGACTATACTATCTTTCGGGGGGAGGTGCTATTATCCCAATATACATGGCAGTGAATAAATCGAATCATTGGCCGAAAGCATGTCATATCCGATACGATAGGTGGCGCTGTTTTCATTACAACTAGTTGTGATACAGCCATTGTCAGGCTACAATGGCGGACCCAAATGCACGACTCAGGAAACAGGGATAAGGGTAATCGGTTTATTGCTCCCAGAGAGATGCAGGCAACAGTACAGGTCCAACAGGCAGGTGAACGTGGTCAAAGAAACAGGCAATAGGTCCAGGTACACGAGAAGACAAAACAAGAGAACGCTGGAAAGTGAGTCGACATGGAGCTACTACAATCTGGCAGGTGATCAGTGAACACAGGTGAGCTTATATACACGGGGGAGGGGAAGACAACTAGACACAGGTGAGAAACATCAAAGTGAAGACCGGCAATCAACAGGCAGGAAGACAAGTGACGTGAATAGGAACGAACAGTAGGTGGAAAATAAGACAGGAAGTGCATGGAAACAGACGGAAAACACAATAAGAGCAGAGGATGATCTTACAGCCATTTCCGCTTGACCGCTTCACCACTACCAACAACAACATCATCAACATTACGAGAAAGATGGCGAATGGAGAGCAAGGTGAAGCTACATCCCTCTACTATTTGTGCATGATGTTAATAGGAGTGCTGCGAATGGCGCAATTGGCTGATTTGATAACGGAGAGAAGACGCCGTCGGGATCTCAAGCATGCGCAAAGACCCTGTTCCTTATCCGATTCACCGTTACATGCCGCAAAAGTCGAACTATCAACTGGATCGGATCGAGTTATCCAGGGGTGTTAGTCGGATCGTAGTCGGACCGCACATAGTCGGACAAAAGTGTTTACATGAAACGGATAATTCAATTTCAGTCCGGCTAAGCCAGTTATTCGAATCCATGTAACCACGCTGATTGATGTTCTGCAGAGGTTCAAAGTTGTACTCTCTCTGGAGGATAGGTCAGGTTGACAGCATACACAAGTGAAAGCAACATTGACACTGCAAAAGGTACATATCCCGACTCGTAGCACTTCCACCCCCCTCCAGAATGATTCCAACATCCTCAGGTTCATCACTGGGCTCTGCACCTTCTTTTTGAAAAACAAGGATTCCAAAGACTCTCTCTGCCAATGGCCGTTTGAATGCTTGGAATTCTGTGAGAAAACAATTAACGAGCATTATTTTTCCCCTTATGTCCATTGAATCCCATTTTACTGAACATTTTACTGTATAAACAGCTATTAATAACTATTCACATAACTATCTGATATTAAATTATTTGACTAAGCTCTGGCACTAGTACTAGCAGTGGAATGTTGGTTACCATTACTGTTATGTTACTATGGTGATCACACCTTGTATTCCCTCACCAACTTCTCTGGATTTTCGTCGAAGTAGACACAAAGACCGTTGAGGATGCATTCCCGTCTGACGTCAACGCTGTCATTTTATGTACGCAGATGAGAAAATGTGTGCAAAATAAAACATAAGGAAAACCATCATAAACAACCAGTTTATTAATCCCAATTATTAACCATGCAATATCCAAATATATGTGTGTATTAGTATGTTAACCCTTGGGATCCAGCCTGGTTCACAAGGGCGGGACTGCGTTTGTCATCAGGTTTGTGTGTTAGGGCATTTACTGCAACTTTTGGCTTTCCAAGCCATCTGAGCTTTGTTCAGTAGTTACCAAGTTTGTATTTCAATCTGCCAAATCCTGTGATGGAACCTGGCTCTATCAAACTTGGACTTGTTGACACAATAGCTTCTGCTACATCCTCAAACTCTCTGATAGAGAGGACAAGGCCGAGAAGACTATGGACCATCCAGGCGCTCTTGAGGAGGTGGACTCAGGAGAAGAAGATATGTCCGTATCAAAAGAGCTACCAGATGAAAAGCAGGAGAATTCACCTAGAGAGAAGACTGTGCAAGCCATAGATATAGTGCACACAGACTTACTCCTAGTCAGCCTCAATTAGTGACACTTGATGTCCCTGGCCCTAAAGGTCCCACATACTTCCCTTACATGGATAAGTTACAAACTATCAATCAATCAATCCCTTGTTTGGGAAACTGAAGATGTCCATCCCTCACCCGATCCAGGAAGAGGCGCTCTGAATCTGACAGTTTCCACTCCATATTTATTATCGCAGTCTCAATGTGACCGCACAGGAGTAATTCCCACTCCAACCTAGGACTTGAATAAGATTGCAGAAAAAAAACAGGAGGGTTGGGACCGAATGCAGGAAGAAATGACCCAACAAGGACGAGACATAAAAGAGCTTACAGAGGGATTGAAAGGAAGTCATTATTCCTTAAATAAACAACTTTTTCAAAATTATCGCCAACTTTTCACCAAGATAACATAGCATAAAGAATGTATGGAATTAGAAGTGGATCGAATAGTGAAAGGAATAAAAATGATTGTGAAAGAGGACATGCAGAAACCTCCCTCCTATCAGAAATCTACTTCATGATGGAGCAACTTCAAATAGAAGTACAACAGTAGCTCAGAGGTTTTAACATTAATACTGAAGAAAGTCAAAAACCATTACTAACTAAATTGACATCAATCATTCGAAAGGAGGAAGTGGAAAATAAATAGTTACAAACAGAAAACTTCTTGTCTGCAAGAAAAACTGTTTTCTTGAGGTAAAAGATAAAACAAACCCTTCAAGCCCTACCCCATGTCTGTCCACTGCTGAAAACACAAGCCCAGTGGTAATAAAAAAAGCCTATATAGAGATAACCTTTCCCACCTATGAAATACCCAACGATGATCCTGACCCTCTCAACCCCTTAGCCTATTGCCATGATTATCTTGCCATACATCCCTTATCTGACGCAGATATTCTTGACACTTTCAGATCAGAAGTTTGTTTCAGTTCGAAATGTCTTCCTGGCAGCCTTCCTCTCAGAAGATTGTAAAGACTAGCTGGCTGAACTTGTACGAACGAGAAGACAATGAGAGAATGGAAGAATCTGATTTCACTTTTTTTTTTTATTGAACTCTGTGTAGAAGACAGAACCCCTCTCTCACAGAAGTGGGAATATTTCAAATGATTCTAAAAAACATTAAACCACTTCTGGCTAGTATGCTCAGAGGTCGAATTGACACGGTCAAAGATTTGGTTCGCCTTGGAAAGGCCAGAAAAGGACCATAAGCAAGAGCTTCGAAACAACCAAAGAATGGGAATGAAAACTCTGAACCCCTTTTCAAAAAAATAACCCGCCCTCCTGCCCACAGTACAGTTCAACTGGTACTTGCCATACCCCTAACAGGGTAGTTGGCTGTAAATGGCTCTGTCTGTTGTCAAAGCTAACAAATCTATCCAATACCAACACTCTCAAGAGTTATCAATTTCAGAGACTACAGACAATCCAATGCACAATGCAACCTCCTTAAGACTTGCACAACTACTTGTACCAGTTTCAATAGATACGTGGCGGGGAAAAGCTATTGTTGATACAGGATCAAGTTACACCAAATATCTATGGATGAAATTAAAAGGATCCAAAGTGGAACTTTAACCATGGGAAGAAGTTCCTTTGTATCTAGCTAATAGGGAGGCAGCTAATCCAAACGGATGGGGAAAACTTGCAGTGGATCTTCAAGGAAGGTTTCCACTCTCTCTGCTGTCCTCAGGCTGAAAGCTCTAGCCTATGGTATGGTCCTGGGACTCAATTTTATTTCTAGTGTGTGAATGGTAATCAATGTGGCTGATAAGTCATAGTTTTATGTCCAACCCCTCTTTACCTATCCATTCCAGTCGGGAAATGCCAACATCCCACAGAATACAAAATCATAACAACCAAAGCTGAGACTGAAAAATGTCCTTACTAAGAGGTGTGTAACAGGTTGGTCCTCTGGGGGGGTCTTGGAATGACGGGCACGAGGCAGTCGGGTCCATTGTAAATGGTTTTTATTCGTATTTCCACACAAACACACAACAACAACACCGGCTCCAGCCTCCTCGCCTCGCTTCCCCCTGCTGTCGCCGGATCTCTCCTACTTAACAGAAGTATATTGATTACTGATTCACATCAG